CTTCCAATTTTTAATAAATGGACTTGAAATGTAGTGACTGCTGCTTATGATGATGATATAACACTTTTTAATGAATAAAGGTAAAAAAATAAATATTTTAATAAATAAAAAGGTGTTCTTTCTATGGCTTCCAGATTTCAACAAATAAATTACATTTTAGTGACTAGTATCAGTGTTATGTATACCCAATCACGCTGGATTTTTTTAATGAACAGAATAAAACCTTCTAATATTAAATTGCAGTGACCAGTAACACTGTAACTGACTGTTGTAGATCTGTGAAAGACAGCCACTGATGTCACTGCTATTACATGATTGGCTGAGGTGCCTCACGTAATCCAAGTTAGACAGACCCTCTCATCTCCCAATAATAAGACTCTAATCTCTGGCTAAACTCTGCAGGACAGTGGTCCTCCAGGAGCAGGATTGGACACCCCTGGTTTAAAGTATACCATAGATTGATCTTGTGGAAAATTAAAAACACCAATAAGTTTGTTGTTGAAATTTTATGAGTTGTGGGTTTGGCTACAATATATGGATGTCTACAATATAAATAAACGTAAAAATAAAGAATGCTGTTTCTTTACCAGTATCTAAGGATATAAATCCTTAGTTTACTGGAAACCAAACAGTCATGCACAGAGAGGTGTTCTTATCAGTCATCAATTCAAAGACTTTTACCCTCTTAAAAGATCTGGTGGCCCCAAAAAGAGAGAGTAATGCCCCGTTCAACTACTTGATAAACAGAGAGGAGTGACGTCAAAATGCCCCATCATCAGACACACCCAGTTCAGGTCTTGGAGTCTCTGCTAACGAGCTGATGAGTTACATCAGGTTTGTTTGATCAGGACTAAGATTGGAAAACACTGCAATCCATAGGCAAATAATTAATGATACAAATTTGTCATGACTACAAACAGTCAGTTGTATGTTCTGAAGTGATGTGAGTACAGTTCATTTGTTGGTCCTTTAAGGGGGATCTGAGATCATTTGAGGTGTTCCACATACACATTACACCGGCCAGAGAATGATTGTTCTCAAATGAACTAAGGGTAAAAACTTCCTAAAATGTTTGGACACCCCTGATCTAATATGTGGCAAGAAGGGATCAACATTTGAGATGAAACTAACCAGAACAGGCTTCACTGAAGCTTTGTGTAAGGGGGCAGATTGAGAGTGAGAACTCACTTCCAGTTTTTATAGGGAATAACAACCCATCAAGGGATGTTCCTATAGGGCAGGGATCTCCAACACTGCTCCTGGAAAGCTACAGTCCTGCAGGCTTCATTTCCAACCCTGCTTGAACACACCTGTCTGTAATTATCAAGTAACCCTGAACACCTTGATTAGCTGTTTCAGGTGTGTTTGATTAGGGTTGGAGCTGAAATCTGCAGGACTGTAGCTCTCCAGGAGCAGGGTTGTAGAACCCTGTTATAGGGAATGTCTAATAAACAGTCCAACATCATAACCCAGGGGTGTCAAACTCAGTTCCTGGAGGGCCAGAGCACTGCAGAGTTTAGATTCAACCCTAATCATGACGGCAGCAACAATACTACAGCGAGAATAAAAGTTATGCCTTCTTTCTTTGCGTGAACATTTGGGTGGCATTATGCAAATCTTCCCACATCGTGATGTAGACATGTGGGGGCGTGTTAGAACGAGCCGTTTTAGGTAGGCGTGGTTGACTCAACTTTTATAAAGAATATCTCTTTGGATTTGAGACTTTAGTCTTTGCAACTTTACAGATCTTCTTTATGCACCAAGAGCTTGTAACACTTCAAAGAGAAAGGAAAAATTGAAATCGCATCATATGACCCTTTAAATGCACCTGATACAGCTAATCAAGTCATTCAGGCTTACTTGAAAACTACATGGTTTGTGTGTTGGAACTAAACTCCTGCAGGGCTCCAGCCCTCCAGGAACTGAATTTGACACCCCTGCATAACCTGAGATGACAGGCTGAATAGTGAACAGAGTCCAGAAGGTTCAACAGATACTCAATATGCATACAAAATATGCAGTGGTTGGGGTTCCCCAGGACAGGTTGAGAAGCACTGCACTAGAAAATGGAGGTTGATCCAGATCAGGGATGAGCAAAAAAAATTTGAAAATTACAGCTAGGTGTTTTCGATTAGGGGTGGAACTACACTCTGCAGGACAGTGGACCTCCAGGACCGAAGCTGTCCATCCCTGATCCAGAATCACACTATTGCAGGGGTGTCTACTCCTGCTCCTGGAGAGCCACTGTTCTGCTGAGTTTAGCTCCAACCCCAATTAAACACACCTGAACCAGTTAATCAAGGCATTTAGGATCACTTCCAGACCTGTATGTTTGGGGAAGGCGGAGCTGAACTCTGCAGCACATTGACCCTCCAGAAGCAGGAGTACTGTAGACACCCCTGCACTACTGTCAATGCTACTTGACCATAAACTCTCAGAAGGTCTTTCTGTGAGGAGTTTACATGTTGTCCCTGCAGTGCTCTGGTTCCCCATAATCAGACATAACTGATATGAAGGATAGGTGAATTGGAGAGACTTACTTGACCATAGGCTTACTTGACTCAAACAGTGAGTATGTCTGTATGAGAGGCCATCCATCCCTGGCCCGAGATGCTGGGATCGGCTCTACTATCCCTGCACCCCTAGGACAAGCAGTTTGGAGAATGGATGAATCATCATTCATTGGATGGACATTTCTGAGAACTCAATAACTGTAGATGCTCAGTTACCGCAGTTATCAACAGATTCCACACTTAAGCCCAAAGTGCTCATGTTCATCAGTAATAGGTGACATAAGTACTGAAAAAACTGACTTTAAGTCTTTGGTGGGCAGAAAACCATTCATCATTCCCTTCTTTTCTGTCTTTACAGGATGGCCCATTGTCATTTGCTTGTTATTTGCCATTAGGTGCAATATATGAAGCAGAATAATATTCCTACAAGTGGATAAGAAACGATTACAAAGCACACGACCTGTCTTGTAATCCTGATTATACAAACTCTCTTCTGAGAAAAAATTTTAATCAGTAACTTCTGTCATGTCAATTACAAATGAGATGTGCACGGATTCCAGTGGACAAAATTATGTCCAATGAGCTGGAATGTGGTGTTATAATTCACACAATCATTAACCCAAATTATTTGAAATTATCATTTAATTTTCTTTGTTTAAGATGTTTAAGCATCACAGCACTGTGTCGAACATTCTGGGATCATGTTCAGCCATAAACAAAACAGGAAGTGACTGGAGGATTATTCCACAATCCCAGGAAATTCCCATTTTTTCCTGAGTCCTGATATTTATTAGCTGCAGTTCTCCAGTAGCATTCAACATCACATGATCCACTGATCACATCGTTATGAAAGTGTTTTTTTTTTTTTTTGATGTGGCACTTGTTCATTACAGTAGTGTAAAATTTTCATTCAGCAACTCTAAGGGCAATTTGAGATGTTAATGATTCATCATTTAATCTGTCATAGATGTTGTCCATTCATCCATTCTCCAAACTGATGGCAGGGAAAAACGTATATATGCAGTATATACGTTCTGGTTCTTGAATCTAGAACATATAGACTGCTCCTATATAAGCTCATAGACTCTGTTTACAAACTGGAGAAGAAAAAACACATGATAAAGTTGGCAAATCTACCCCACATGTTTTCATGATACAGTGAGTAGTTAGAGTCCCGTGCACAGTCAGTGATGCAATAGGAAAAGCAGCACAATCCTTGGCTTTTTTAAAGGAAAAGGGATGCCGTTCATGGAAGAGAAGACCTTACTCCACTGGACAGAGAAAGACATTAATCATGCTTACATTAATGGTGGTGAGATTCTTTTGCCCACATCTACTGAAAGATGTGGACTAAGTTCCCATCCAATGTTCCTGTTGGTAAATAAAGTTAAAGTGAATAAAAGACAATAGTTGCTTTGGGGTGAGTGGGGGATAGTATTCTGCCAAGGGATTGAATATTGCAAGATAACAGCACTCTTAAATGAAGTGTTTATCTTGCACACTTTTTCATTTTGAGGTTACCACTTTTCTCCAGATGACATCTGCTGGTCATGAATTTGCAGGTTCTTCTGCTCCACAGCCTCATTAAACATTAAAACCATTGACAGGTGAGTTGAATAACACTGACTATATCGTTGCAGTGGCATCTGTCAGAGGATGTGATGCATTAGGCAGCAAGTGAACCATCGGTTGTTGAAATTTCTTGACAAGGGCCAAATAGTGATGGCTAGATGATTAGGTCAGGGTGTCTTCAAACTGGCAAGTCTTGTGGGGTGTTCTCAGTATGCAGTAGTTAGTACATACCAAAAAAAAGTGTAAAGAAGGTCAACCAGTGAACCCGGCGTCAGGGTTATGGGCGCCCAAGGCTCACTGATGCATATGGGTAGCGAAGGCTAAACCATCCAGTCTGATTACACAGAAGAGCTAATGTAGCTCAAATTGCTGAAGAGCTTAGTTCTGGCCATGAGAGAAAGGTGTCAGAACATACGGTGCATCGCAACTGGCTGTGTATGGGGTGGACTGGTCAGAGTGCCCATGGTGACCCTTTTGTGTCCACATGAACATCAGAACTGGACCACTGAACAATTCAGTTGGCTCCAACTCTTATTAAACACACCCAAATCAACTAATCAAAGGTTTTCAGACTCACTAGAAACTTCCAGACAAGTGTGTTGGAGCTGTTTGGAACTAAAATCTGCAAGACATTGGCCCTCCAGGAATAGGACACCCATGTACTACGAGAAGGCAGGCAAGGTGTTGACTTGGCCTCCTAAATCCCCAGATCTCAATCCAAGTATTTACAATTAAAGTATTTCCTTGCTTTCACTTTATCAAGGGATTCAATGTGTTGTCAATTTTTGACTATATTAGAAAAGATGGCACAAGTAATATTGCCAAAGTAATCCTTGCTTCACTTCTTGTTGAAAGAGGATGTATATTTTTTAATGTGGAAAGGCAAAATAGACCATCACTCTTTAAGAAAGTGTCTTTATTTACCAAAAAATGAGAAAGAGAAAATAAATGACAATACAAACCATAGATAATGTGGTTAAGCAAATCATGTAGCATAATTGTAAATCAACTTACCACAGATATCAGTGCCACTTCACAGAGAAAATATGAATATTGTATTGTAACCTTGTGGAAGGTGAAGAAACCTAGGCAGCAGTTGAAGCATGATAAAAAAATATAAATGACAACAGAAAACAATTTCAGGGAAACATGGAAGAAATGTCATTTATCAAACCGCAAAATCCAATACGCATCAAACTGAGCAGACATTTGGTGACTGAGGACTCACAGTATATAGGGCTTTAATGGGTTTTACTGCTGTTGGACGAGTAATGTCAACCCTATCTGTACAGAACCAGTCATGTGACGTTCTGAAAGCATGCTTTTGAGCAGCTTCTTATATTTGCAAGGTTGTACGTTTAAGCACACAACGAACACTGAGACGACTTCAGCCATAGAAATTCAACATACAGCTTGACCGATTATTATTGTAACATCTGAATTCACAATGAAACAAGAGCAGAATACACACTTCAGGTGCTCCGAACCAAAATACTGTTAAGTGTGTTTCAGACAAACCAGTTAGTTTCTTAACAGATTACTAAGAGCAAGTTTACCAAGAAAAACTTCTCTTTAGTGACAAAATGATGCATTCATAATTGGGCACAAGTTTTAGAATAAATATCAAGTCTAAAAAGAAGTCAAGCTAACAGCACTCCAGATCCAGATGAATAGGAACTGACATTTGTCTTGTGAAAAAAGGAATTTTTTGGATTTATCTGTAATCTTGGTCCAACACGCAATGCATCTCGACTAACAGGTATACAGCTTAGAAGATCCACTTGTAGATCTTAAGGAAATTTGTTGCTTCAAATCTTTTAAAAACCAGAGGCAGTACAGCAGAACTTCAGGACTCGAAGCAGGATTTCATGATGGCCTCTCTATCAAATTTGAAGCGGAGGAAAGACCGTGAGGAGTGGATGTATTCCTCATAACACAAGTCTGCCTGTCCGTTACAGCCATAGACGTCACCAGATGCATCTGCAAAAACAATTGTAGAATGACTGAAAAGTGAAAACAGTTGTGGACAGTATTTTAAATTCGTGCATTAAATTATTTGATCAATAAACATAAGGTGTGATCGAAAGCAAAAAGGTCCACTGTCAATAGTGTAGCGATGCATGATGCACAGCTCACACAATCAAGCAGCTTTCTATTAGGGGTGGGAATCTTTAGGCACTTCACGATCCGATCCGATTCTGGGAGTCACGATCCAATTCCAAAACCATTCTTGATCAATTCTTGATTAATTCTTCTGCTGCGCAAATACATTTTACAACTTTACATTTGAACCAAAATTGCAGTTTCTATGCTTTTTATTTATAGTTGGAATCTCTGTATGTCAGTACTGCCATCTTAAAAATAGGGGTGTGAATCTTCACTGGTTTCACGATTAAGTTCAATTACGATTATCATTATCAACTCAATATCAAGATGCGTCACATTCTCAGTTTTCAATATTACTGCACATGGCTATATTTTCATGTAAATTTTATATCAAATTTAATTTGTGCAAAATTTACTTCATTTTTTTGTGAAAAAATGAATGCATATCTAAACACGGCAGGTGGAAGCACACACTGTCAAGCAATGCGCACGTGTCTCACAGTGCAAATTCTGTGCAATGAAGCCCGCCGCATCTCTAGCGCACACACGTGCCATTTGTGGGGAAACAAAACCAAGCTCAGAATCAATTCAGAATTGTTGAAGAGAGAATTGCGATGCATCAGAGAATCGATTTTTTTCTCCCACCCCTACTTTCTATTGGTCAACACAGCAAATCCACGTGACCAACTTGAACCTGTTGTGAAATCTGCATGGAGAAATCCTGATCGCAAATCTGAGCACACCATTACTCTCATGCATCACAAAACATTCAAACACTCATAAATTCTAGTTACATACTGGATATTTGTGAGGAGTTTGCTTGTGATAAAATACAATTAATTTGATTTAGTTATAATCACAAAACCCCATTTCTAATCCCTAATGCATAATTTCTTAAAAAGCTTATTTACCCGTGTCGAAGTTATCCTGAAGTCTTCTGGGCTGAAGTTTCTTGTCATCTTTCTACAAAGTAAATATAGTGTTACACAACTATAACTTCTATTGTAATGTACAGTAAATGTGTGCAGCAGCTTACCTGCTGCTGACTGACACCATTAGCTCTTTTTTTCAGGTTTGGAGACTCCTGGGGTTTCTTGCTGTTGCCTTTCACATGATTCTGCAAGAAAATAAACCAACCAATCAGTGAAACAGCATTATAACACTGACAGAGTTAGTGAAAGTGAAAAAAACTATGAATAAGCTCTGAATTCAGTTCTCGCATACTGTGGATTTCTGTAGATTTTTGCACCTAATCGAAACAGCAGTAATATGTACACACAATATTTTGTGATGTGAACACCTACCTTGGGTTTAAGCACATCTACTAACTCGCTCTGGGAGGTTTGTCCGAAGGGTTTCTGTTGTTTTTGCTTGGACCAGCTTTCAGGAGACGCTTCCACCAACATCTGAGACCTTCTGGGCTTAGAGCTGAGAAGAGGAACAACAAAAATGTGTGCATGTCATAATTTCAACAGTCACCTGATTGCTCATTTTATGGCATGCAGTAAAATACACACATAACTGTGCAGAAGATTATATACTTGGTGTTCTAGAAACATTAACACTGTTTAGTTAGTCCTCCAGACTACAGTTTGATTCCAATGGACCGTGAGACACAACAACAACAGTAGCACTACTGTTTATGCTAATGATCTTTCGGCAATATAAACTCTAATGATTTTATCTAGAGTCAAAAGTTGCTTCTCTCCCCTGGTAAATACGTAAAGCAGCAAATTTGTCATACAAATATGACTCTAACCCTTCCAATAAACCAGATTTGTGGCAATACATTTTTGTCTACATTTAGCATTATTAATCAGCATGTTAAGAGCATTTCATAAAAAAAAAAAAATGGTACGACTGAATATTGTTTGCAGATGGCAGATATAAAAATGGTCCAGACTTCAAGACGAAAACCCTGAACCCCAAAGTTTCTTTTCACAGTCACATGGCCTTCTGCAACACATAGGTATCGAACTGTAAAAAGAATAATAGCCTGATAAAACATCTAATCTTACCTTTTAATACTCATATCCAACTGGGCTCAACTGATGACAAAAAACAACAACTTTTTTCACTTAGGTTCAATATCCTCATCTTTGATGACTGTTTGGTCTTTTTTCTTTTACAAAGTACTACTGCTGACCAGATGGGAATTTATAACAATTCCAAAAAAGTATTAAAAAATATTAAATATTAAAAATATAAAGGCCGGACATACTGGAACTTTAATTAAATACCCTTGTTCTGTGCAATATTTTATAAAATTGTAATATTTTGATATTTGAAATGATAATTTGAATGTAATACACCATTATTTCATAGTCAATTTAATACATAAATCAGTGGGCCTTCTGAACGACAAGTCAGTCTTAAGGCCCCACAAATAATGAGTCATAATGCAGTCTTCAGATAGTCAACAAATAAATATGTGAATTAAAGGGTTAGTTCACCCAAAAATGAAAATTAGGCCGTGTTTTACTTACCCCCGAGGCATCCTAGGTGTATACAGGTGCATCTCAATAAATTAGAATGTCGTGGAAAAGTTCATTTATTTCAGTAATTCAACTCAAATTGTGAAACTCGTGTATTAAATAAATTCAATGCACACAGACTGAAGTCGTTTAAGTCTTTGGTTCTTTTAATTGTGATGATTTTGGCTCACATTTAACAAAAACCCACCAATTCACTATCTCAACAAATTAGAATACTTCATAAGACCAATAAAAAAAACATTTTTTGTGAATTGTTGGCCTTCTGGAAAGTATGTTCATTTACTGTACATGTGCTCAATACTTGGTAGGGGCTCCTTTTGCTTTAATTACTGCCTCAATTCGGCGTGGCATGGAGGTGATCAGTTTGTGGCACTGCTGAGGTGGTATGGAAGCCCAGGTTTCTTTGACAGTGGCCTTCAGCTCATCTGCATATTTTGGTCTCTTGTTTCTCATTTTCCCCTTGACAATACCCCATAGATTCTCTACGGGGTTCAGGTCTGGTGAGTTTGCTGGCCAATCAAGCACACCAACACCATGGTCTGCAAGTGATTATTACATTTTGAATATGGATATTTTTCTTACAAAAACGCATCGATTCGCTACAGAAAGCCTTTGTTCACCCCCCGGAGCCATGTGAGACACTTTTTTTATGGAAGGGAGGTTTTTATTTCACGTCTTTTGGACTGATGCATGCAACACCCGCTGACTGCAATGATAGAGCTTGAAAGATCAAAGACAATTTTTTATATAACTCCGACTGGATTCATCTGAAAGAAGAAATTCATATACACCTAGGATGCCTTGAGGGTGAGTAGAACGCAGCCTAATTTACATTTTTGGGTGAACTAACCCTTTAACTATAATTAGTCTGCTGGCTCTTATTTGACAATTGCGTCCCTCTTTAAATGCATAACCACTAACATACTCAGTTATTGGACGATTAGTCGATCAGCCCACCGTCCTGGTCCATCCCTACCATAGAGCTGAAGCACTATAATGCTACTGCACTATTCGCTTGTTATGCAAAACATAACATCTTTTCACACGTGAAAATGTAATGGTGAATGACTTTTATAGCAAGAATGATCGCACCGGAATGGTTTGCCTGGTGTGCTGCCATTGGACGCAAAATCCTCATCGCTGCTCGTTGACTCTCCTTTGTGTTTGGCAATCCACTCTCTGAGCTGCCTGCAGACGAGCACATTACACCTCACACTCATACTCCACACAACAAACAAAACATGAACATGGATCACTCTAGAACATCATTAATGTCAAGATGTACCTCACAAATGGAATAGCCATAAAAAACTTGTTAGGAGCCAGTCCAAGCTTGGATTTCGGGGTCATATCGTTCCTGTGGCAAGGCAGTTTATCCACTGAGAACCATTCAATGTTCTATCAGGAACCAAAAGAGCAGAGAAACACAATCAGAGCTTTGTACAATCAAACACATGTGCTTCTATAGAGCATTAAAATGTATATATACCCTTATCTCTTTTCTGGTCTTGGGGTGGTACTTTGTGTCTTTAGGAACTCCTGGTATAATGTACAATCGAACCAACTGATCTGAAATCCTCTGCTCAATATATGTTTTTTGGCAGATACGATCTCGGATATCAAAGCCTGTCTCCTCCAAAACCTGCAGACAAATCAAACAACATTAACAATGGTTTTCATTACCCTTACCTCTCAACGCTTATATTTTGAAAGCTGAGAAAACGACATACTTCTCTCACAGCGCAGTCATGGAAAGCCTCATCTTCATTGACTTTCCCTTTAGGAAAACCCCAGCCAGACTTGGCCAGATAACCCTGGACCATCAACACCTTCAGGCCAAAATAAATCACAAATGAGAACTTCTATGAATATATAAAGGTTTCTGCAACCCTCTTTTAAATCACATAATTAGTTTATGATGCTTCCAGCAGCTGTATACATACATTGTCAAGCGTTTCATCAAGAATAATGGCACCAAACGTAGGCACACCCATCTTATACTCTTTCCACTGCTCTAAAACCTTCTGAACATCCTCTCCATGGGGCAGCAGGAATGGACAATGATTAAAAAGTGATCATAATGTTAAGGAGACACACAGAGAAGAAAACAAAAATCAACAGTTCATAGTTTTTGTTATTCAAACTGGGTTTTATTTAGTTAAAGTCTCATTATTGTCTGTGAAAAAATGTTGTTGACGAAAACTACAACCCTAACGAAATTAACACTGCTGAAAGTAGAACCGAATGTCAGAAAACCAAAGTTTTATGTTTACATGGAATAAAAATGCATGTCTCTGACAGAATTCCTTTCAACTGATAGCTTTGTTACTGCAGCACTGATGAGATTTTAAAAAGTTTAGGGTTACCTGGGGGGTATTCCAGAAAGTAGGTTATGTGACATACCTTATATAATATTACAATATGTAATATAGCCTATTTTATATATATATTTTTTTTTTTATTAGCGTCCGTTTCCATAGTGACTCGTCGCTCTGTTGAGAATGTCTTGAGTCTTAACCAGGAACATACTCTGAGTTGAATGAACTTACACCCAGACGTGGTTTTGGAACCACATACCTCGAGTAAGCAAGGTTTGGGGTTAATCAACTGAAAGTTCAGGGTTTAGCTGACGGTAAGTTAACCGTGCTTTCTGGAATACACCCCAGGTTTCTATAAATCCAAACAAACCAATCTGAGGTTCAACCCTGCACATTTCAGAAACATTATACTTTGCACAATCATGCACTCATGCAGCAAAGTTCTCCCTTAAATCTTTAGTTTGTGAACCGCTTTCGATGACAGTTACATTACATAAACAATTAAGGTGTGATGCACACTTTAAGTATTTGATCACATTTAGAAGGCATTTTATATTATATATATTTGTTTGTGACCGTGAAGACAGTGTTTGATGTCTGTGAACCGTTAGCTAGATGTTTCTGATGTCATGAACAGATTCGCATGAAGAGGAAAGCGTAAAGTTCTGTCGAATGTTTATTCATGAGGCTCCTTCTTGTTGCAAATTTGATTTTCTCTATATTTGTTATAAATGCCAATAGATAAAGTAATAAAAAGAAAGATCATGTGCTCCCTCGACTGATTTTCTGTTCTTTGTTTTCTGAATTGTGCAGCACTTTGGGTAAAATTCTGATGCTTTTAAATGAGCTAAACGTGCGTGTTGGGGTTTGTGGCTCTCCAACGCAATATTCTGCTCAAGCAAAAAAAGCACTGGCTGAAAGGCAAAGACACTTCAGAAAAACTGTGCATTTAGTCTGTGTGTTAGACTCAGTACTCTCTCTGGCCCAAATATGCTTTCATATACCATCTCTTAAGGATATCAGCCTTGGCAAAGTCCCTTATCCCACACTGAGGCAGTCCTGGTGAATTTTGCATGCAGAAGTCCAGGTAAAACCAATGGGCAAGCTCAATCTGGAAGCAAACTCTGATGGCATTGTCCCTCTCCTCGCTGGGGATGTGAAGAATGAAGCGACTACAAGACACAACACAGAAAATACTGAAACCATGAAGCCTGCATCATAAGTCAAAAGCACATTTAAGGATGATTTAATTATATTTGCACTGAGCTTTGTAACAAGGCATTTTAAATAACGTGGCACACTAGTTTTCTGAAGAACTTATTAATCTAACACAAGGCTGTCAAACTCAGGTCCTGGAGGGCTGGACACACAAACCATGTAGTTTTCAGATAAGCCTGAAGGGCTTGATTAGCTGGATCAGGTGTGTTTAATTAGGGCTGAATCTAAACTCTGGCTCGGGCCCTCCGGGAACTGCGTTTGACAGCCTGGTCTAACAGACCTAAGAATTAGATAACCTTAAATAGTCATAATAATCTGCACTCTCATTATCTACGTTCACTGGGATGTGATCAGCTAAGGACAAAACATTAAAACCTGACTATACCGTAATACAAATAATATTTTATTACGACGTAAATTAAACAAATCAATAAAAAACACAGGAAATCGCATTCGGATTTGTAGATGCCTGAATGTTGTTACCGGAAATGCGTGAGGCGTACCAAATAAAACACGGAAGTAGTTCTACAAGTAGCCTAGTCAATTGACCATTTAGGTCAAAATACTAGAACATATGCACAACAGTAACTACTGTCATCATCTGCATCAGACGAATGACTTTGGGAATTGTTATTAAGTTACTTACTTCTGGAGTCTAAGTACCGCCTACTTGGCAGGCGTCCAACCCCGCAGCTGACTCGAGACGCGCATGTGATACACAAATACCCTCAGGACGCGCCAAAACTGTACAAAACTGCAGCTGACTCGGAAGGTGCCCACGATACTTCATAGGCTGCCTGTTAGCAGTTTCGTAGGTTTTGCAACGCAGCCTTACTGAGTCCGTTATTAAACTGCCGTATAACAAAGACAGCTACGAGATATTCGACCACTCAAAGTGATAAAACGCACATCACACTTACAGGTGCTTTTAAATAGACAGTCAGGTGTGAATGTATGCTCTCGGTTTACCTGCAGAGGTCATCCAGCAGCCCGTTAGGAATCTCCCCTTTTTTTGTCTCCATGTTAAGGGTAAAAACATCCCGAACAAGCAAGACCTGTGCGTTAAAAACAGCGCAAAGCTACTACACTCGCGTGCTTCGCATTTATAATATGTGGCTAAAGTACATGGTTCTGTACCATTCAAACGCTTAACAATAAAAGAGCAAGCAGTGCTGTGAATTTATATCGACGATGCTGATGCTAGCATGCTAACAAGCTAAAAATATAGCGCTGCAAATCCATGAAGTACTTGAGAGTAGGCGGGACCAGAAGCGTCAGTTAATGACAGAGCGCGCAAATTTAGAGCTCTTGGCCAATCACATCGCTCTGCACATAACGGACATCACCAAGAGGCCAATCATAGTGAAGTTCAGAGAGCGATTTAGGAGATTAGCATGTTTGTCTGATTGTTTGTTTTATAATGATCATGCAATACATAAATGTGTTTATAATCACCTGGCTAAACTGTGCAAAATTATAACTCGGATGCAGTGGGCTTTTCGTACAGTCAAAGCCCAAGCCACTAGGAATAGATCGATACCCATATTTTCAGCGGCAGCTTCATTCAACTTTAAATGTTAAAAAATAAAAGCCTTTCTTTCGCGGCTGTCTGCCTCGCTCCGCTATGAAGGGTGGATTTTTTTTTTTTTTTTATGTATTATGACAATTTAAAAATAGAAAAAGAAAAAAAGATAGGTTGTAATCTTATTTTTGTGCTTTTGAAAAGCATTTGTTATTCTTGTTTTTTTTCCTGTGTAGATAATGCCATAACGTGATGTGCGTAAACCCATATTATTAATCCTCTGTTTTTGTTACTATGATGTTTTTTTTGTGGGAGACACATCCATGTCTCATTTCCCTGTTCGTGTATGTATTCATAAGTTCCGCAAGAAAATAAAAAAAGGTGTGGTGGAGGAGGTGGCTCCGTGACGTCACGCCCTCAGCCACACACTGAGCTGGTGAGAGCAGCGGGACTTCAGCTGCTGTTTATGAATTTTATTTCATATCTCAATAAATCCATAATCGGAACAGACGAATCATGGCGCACGGGCTGAAAGAACGCTTCGAGAAGTTCCTTTACGAGAAAAATCTCATGACGGACGTGCTGGCGAAGATCGAGGCGAGGACCGGAGTGAGCAGGTGCTACATCGCATATGGTGAGCGCTGCTGGAGGAAGATCTGAACCAGGAACCGTGTCAGTTTAATGCTGTTTGCGCACGAATAGAGCTGATACTGTCTTTTGTCTTGCAGCTGTCATCGCGATCCTTGCAGTCTACCTGGTGATCGGATACGGCGCTTCTCTGCTCTGTAATCTCATAGGATTCGTCTATCCTGCGTACATATCGTGAGTTGGAGCTGTAATCGATCTTTCTGGCCAGAACTAGCTGTTAATTCGAGATGGTCCTCACTGCAGAACACAAGATCCAGGTGGCGTTGTTGGATCCAGATCCAACTCCTCCCACCTTACATATACCTAAACCCACCCATCTCCACCCCCTGATACCTACACCCACCCATCTCCACCCCTAAAGCCACCCATCTCCACCCCTAAACCCACCCATCTCCACCCCTAAACCTACCCATCTCCACCCCTAAACCAACCCATCTCCACCCCTAAACAACCCATCTCCACCTCTAAACCCACCCATCTCCACCCCTAAACCCACCCATCTCCACCTCTAAACCCACCCATCTCCACCCATCTAACATGAATAGTTTTAGAGTACATAACATTATTGTTATATAACAGTAACACAACATATTTATTTAATTTGTTTTGGCTCAAACTCAAAAAAAAAAAAAAAGCTTTAACAATATTTACAAGACAACACAGTGAGCAAAAGGAGTAGGCAGCAGGAGCCATTGCTTATTACACCTACACTTCTCAGTGTTCAGTCTTTCATTAAATATTTTTAGTTTTAGTTGTCCACCCATTAAGCATCTCCATTCAACAACATCTTATCAACAGCACTTAAACAGATAATTAATTCACCTTATAACCTTTCAATAAATAACATAATCTGAATGTAATATAATGTAATGAATAAATAAATAACAAATAAATAATTACTCATGTCCAATTTACTGATCATGAATATGGGGGGAAAAGCACAAAAATCATGTTAAAGTATGCTAATCTTAAAAGGACCTGCAAATTATGGAAGTTCATTTTCTTTTGCAGTGTTAATGAGGTTATTATTAATGTGATGAATTGAATCATTGAATCTTTTACATCGCTGAATCATTTAGAACAAAACACCACTACCATCCTGATCTGGATTCATTTGCACCTATTTTCTTTAGTAGAGATAAAATGGACAAAGTAACAGGCAATATTGTTAACCTCTTGTGTTAACTTCTGTTATATAAAACCAATATCACACTCACAGCCTCTTGTTCTGAATATCGTCATGGCTGTCCAGGCAACCCAAATTTTCAAGCTTCAAAAAGTTAACGAAAACATCGTACAAGAAAACAATCCATGAATCCAGCAGTTTAATCCAAGTCTGCTGAAGAGACAGGATCTCTTTTTATAATGAACAGACTAATTTAGGCTTTTCTTCACATAGAAACATTGATCAACACACAAAATATGGTCAAAGGGAAGCTGAACTGTTTGCTTGACACGCAGGAATCGGTGAGGTTTGGTGTTGCGTGTCAAGCATGCACAGTTTCACTTATATCACAAAACAAAAACCTTTTCAGGGGACACTTGAAGCACTTTCAGATTTTGACGGTTTGAACTTTCAACCCATTAAACACACTGCTATTAATGTAATTATGAACAGAATTATGAAAATGAGTATAAATTCACAATCTTGTACCGTTATCAGGTGAAATGCTGAGAGACAGTTCAGGGTTAAAGAAGGCAAACCACAGAAGCCCGTGTGACTCCTTATACTCACTAATCTAGACATCACATGAAATTAACCCTATAAAGCTCTATCATATTTGATGCATGCATTTCTGAGGCCTCTAAATTATCAACATGATCAAAACTTTGCTGGAAAACCTGTTGTACTCTATTACATGCCTTTCTTACTGATGGTTCACACTTTTTTAGCAAGTAAAAAGCCTTGAAGTTTAATTGTACAAACATCCACCTTCAGCTTCTGCGTCGTGTGTCTTTTTGCTGTGATATCTTTACTGATTTTTATCAAGTAAACGTAAGAATAACTTTCATATTATTAGTAATATTTCAAGATGATAATTTACTAGACTGAAGCAACTTTTTTTTTTTACTTATTTGATTTTCCATTCATCACTTTTTGAAAAAATCATGTTAAAATGTATCAAATATGATTGAGGAATGCGCACACATTAAAAATCATGTCAAACAGCGCCTGAGGACCTATTTCTGTTTGCCAAAGCTGAATTATTTACATATAATGAAATATAAATTTGAAATTGGCCGTATGCTTTGAGAATCCTCTTAAGACTGTTTCTTTTGTCAGGAAGATTAGATATATGTAGAAAGGCAACAGTTCATTTTCTTTATGACATACAGACTAAAAACTATGGGTGAGTCTGTGATCACGATTTTTGATTGTGGATGATTAAAATGTCTCCACGATTTGCTTTTGAAGAAATATCGTAGTATCGCTACAGCGCATATTCTATCAGTTGCAGTTCTGATGCATCCGTCTCAATATACTGTACAATGCGACATACATTCACATCAAATATTAACTCAGCGGTAGAGTTACACTCACTGCACACTTGACTTATTCACAATCACAAAAGTACATTATTTGCATGTGCCTTAAGCCTTGCCGGTTAAACTTTTTATTTGCGTGCTGTTCTGACGTGCGCTTTTTCTAAGAGCTCACACCTGAAGCGCGCGCACACTAAAAAGCCTGTCTTTTGAGTTATCTTTCACATCTGATTGCACTAATACTGTCAAGAACACACAAGGTTTACATATAAACACAGCTGGTTATGTCTAAAGTGAAAGTAAACAGTTGAGAAAAGAACAGATGAGTGACTGTATATTAGATGCATTAGATGTCTTAAAGTGACAGCAGACTAATAATCCTAAACATGCTGCCGCTTGCCATTAAAGGGATAGTTCACCCAAAAATTACATTTCTGTCATTGTTTACTCACTCTCATGTTGTCCCAAACCTGTATTGATTTCTCTCTTGTGCTGAACACAAAAGAAGATATTTTAAAGAATGTAGGTAACCAAACAGTTGCTGGTCCCCAATGACAGAAAAATACTATGGAAGTCACTGGGGACCAGCAACTTATGTTCAACAGAACAAAGAAACTCATTCAGGTTTAAAACATCTTGAGAATGAGTAAATGATGACATAATTTAAATTTTTGGGTGAACTATCCATTTAATGTTAATAAAACAAACAAAAAAATACACAGAGAAAAACCATTCACTGCTCTGACTGAAGAACTTTAATAGCATTTTGTTAATACAATTTCTTGAATGCTACTACTAAATACACCTACTGTACCTGAAAAATAAAGCACTGTTTGTTGTATTTGTATATTTACACACACACACACACACACACACACACACACACACAAAACAGGGTTTATAGGG